AGCCTGTCAGAAACTCTTAAAGTTGAATATATTTTGATGAAAAAGGTGAAATATGTTCTGTTATTTAGAAAAGAAAACAAGTAGAACGTGATTATTCAAGGAATTTCTCTTTTTCAAAAATTTACAATATTGCACAAGCTTGTTGAGAAGTACACCAATGAACCTACTAGTTCTAGGCTGTATGAAATTCATTTCAAAATTAAAATAATTTATTCCATTTCTAGGTCAATACAGTTTCAATCCAATTTAAGGTTCCAGACCAACTTCAATCAGGAGAGATACTCAAAAGTACATTCAGCAAAAAAATATTGCTCTGTACAGATCACAACCGCTTTTCAGGAAGAGTCCGTTCATCATCTTCATTCCGATCTTTTGAATGATTAAAATTATTGCTTAAAATTCTCATCGTTGAACGAACTGTCCTACAACACATACAAAATGATCACCACACTATCATCAAAACATTCGGATTCCCGAAAAACGAGAGGAACATTGTCGTCTTCTCCAACGCTAGCATTGTTCATTGCAACACTCACTTGTACCATAGTATTTCTCTTCCAAAGCACCAGTGCCCAATATTCTTTACAATCGGTTGATTCCTTACTCACCCTGTCCTCTTCGGATTGCTCCGTTCAAGTCTTGGAAAAGTTTACCTTCTCCTTTTCAACACCTTATTCTGTGTTGACACGTGCATTGCCGTCTTCTGATAGTTTACCTTATACACTTCAATTAGATCAATCAGCGGACATTTTTATTGAGAGTCCAGACGTCACATTATATTCTCAAACTTTACTCATTTCAAACGATGGAAAATATATTGTGTTTCGAGTGAGGTATGTTTTGGATTAAGAAATGAAATTCATGACATGAAAAATTAATGTATTCAATAATTTTGATACGGTGGTGATAATGAATTTATGTATATTTTGTCTTAATGAATACTTGTTGCAATACTGGTGCAAATTTTTCCAACCAGTTTTGCGGACCCTAAAGAACTTGTTCAAAAACCTCAAGTTTCCATTGTCTATAGCTATCGATTGAAACGAGGACCTGTCAATGTTCAGAACAATAAGGCACAAGTGAAGTGGCACACTCTCTTTGGGTCACCAGTGTCGAGGGTTTCATTTTCATTTGCATTCGAAGAAAGTCTGTACGAATCGATTCAACCCACTGCAAGCATTGACTCGTATCACAAATATTCGAATTGGATGGAAGGAGTTAAATACACCATTCTCAATTTCAACTCAACGCAACTCCCATCCAATACAGACTTTATAGTTGGATTTAATGCTACAAATACGAAATTTGCACAGTGCGTATTCTCTGCCACTACAACACCCTACATGGTTGATTTCATGTTTGTTTTCTTGTTCATCATATTACCTGTGAGTGTGTTTATTTTGCTTTCAGCTCTCATGTGTTTGTTGGGACATGTTTACAAACGATGGTCACGACATCGCATGGCCGTGCATAACGCCGTTCAAGCGAGTGCTAACAATTTGGACGACGACATTATCAGGAGACAACCAATGTCGCCTTCACTCCCTGCAAGTCACACACCAACGTTGCCTTCTTCGAACCATACTGAGAAGGGTGCTGAGTTACGAACTCAACAAACCTCAGTCACCATGACCCCCTCTGGCTTGAATTATGTTGTGAATACTGTAAATAATCACGAAACGAATGACGGCTTTACAGGTGTTGTATTACCTCCCTACGTACCAGCATCCTACTTGACAGATAATAATAGTAGAAATAATCGTCAGCATGAAACAGAGGCTGAAATCGAACCCATTCAATACACCCCAAGTCTTGTTGTGGAAGAAAATAATAATCAGCAACGTCCAAGCGTGTAGTTTCATTGGTCAAACTGAGTGTTTACACAAAATTTCTTGAACCCTACAAGAAATTGAAATACTGATAATTTAAAGTGGATGCATTCAAATGCTCTGCCAAGTGGCGTAATTCACCAAGTTCCATTTGCCTCTAACGTTTCGTTGCACCAAACAGCACTAATTAGATTATGAACGAAATGTGGAAAGTATCTTTCAATAGTATTCGATTTCATGCTCTTTCATGTATGAGACGCTCTCAACAACACCATTTCATACGAGAAAAAGAAATCAAAAGTGAGCTCAATCCTTCCTACAAGATGGCACTTGCTTTCTGAATTCGATACACCTTCCACCACTCTTCATATTCTCTCGTTTCCATAAGCCTATAACGAGTGTCTGTTAAATTGGTCATCACGTCCTGCATTAACACATTTTTCAAATCGGTGATGGTTGGCATTGAGAAAACATCACTTTCCCTTAAATTCTCATGTCCAAGTTCTACTCTTGTGTCACCATTTGGAACATGCACTACATTCTCCAATGCAATATTCTGTGTCTGTGGCTCTGTTGAATTTTCTTGTTGAGACAATGTCACGACTCGATCCATTAATTGATAAAACGCTTTTTTCGTTTCAGATGAAAGATTCAATTCATACGTTCCAGTGCTCTTGATAAAATCATGATCCAATTGTTTCATCCATTCCACACTCAACACATGATTGGGACCTTTCTTTTCCAACACGAGATGAATCTTTTGAAAACACAACAAATTTTCCAAACTCATTTCTTTGGTGGCGTATTCCTCAAATAATTCTTTAAATTCTCGATTGGTCAATAGTAGAGTTTCTAATTCGGATTGAAGAGGTTCTTGAGAAGGTTCATTGCCTTGAGATGAGGAATTATTCCATCGATTTCGAACAAATCTTCGACATTTTGTGAACAGTTCAATCACCAACACATTTCCTCCACTAATTAACATGACAATGCAATGCAATAAAAATCTCAACATGTAAATAATATTCGAATTAAATCCACCCACACTATTGACAATAATGACAATAATGACCAAAATGAAAATCAAGGAAAGAAAAATTAAATCAATTCGAACCATGAGAGGATCGTCGAAAAATAAAAATCTTCGAATTCCCTTTTCTCTCAAAATGGAACGATTTCGAATAGCGTCCAATGCCACAATGAAAACTCCTAAAAAAGTAGCAATTAAAATGAATACTGAAAAGGTCACATTAATCATCACAACAAACATGGAATAATTCACATAAAAATAGGAAACGAGACAATGAATGGTCAAGACGACGGAAAGAACCAGCGAAACAACGCCAATAATGCAAAAGCTCATCACAAATCCAGTCATTGGAAACAACAGAGTTTTTCGAACATTGGGCCACCAACGGTGTTTTTCATCTTGTTGTTCTCGTCTCATCGTACTGCTCCTTTTCTTCTTTTGAGTGGTTTGATTAAATCTCAATGAAATTAATCGATACAAATTCCTCAAATATAAAAATCTCAAAATACAACAACTGTAGGCACATATACAAAACACGACGAGAATTTCTCCCAAATATTTGGGAATGAGTTGGCATGGAATCCACAAAAACAGTTGAGTCAATTCAAAGAGAATGAATAGGAGAGGTAAATAGGGAATAACCAGTCGTCGTTTGATGGAAGGTAAGCGGAAGGCTCTCATGGAAAATAAGAACAAGAAATAAACCAAATAGATGAAGGCTACTGCTACGAACCAATAATCAGTACCGAAAAATATAAACTCATCGGGTCCTAAGAATAAAGCAATTCTCGCATCGTATTGTTTTAAATTGAGGGAAGGTAATAGAATGGAAGTGAGGGTCGTTAAATTATATTGGGCAAGATTATTTTCATATAAGGAAATATTAAATCGTTCCCGAGTGTTTTGCATCATGATTTCAAACGATGCATCATGGACTACGTTCTCTGTATTAATATTTGGAATCAAGTATTGTATGAATTGAAGATCTTCCTTTGAAACATTTCCGAAATGGAAATATCTGGCTAAGGCAATTTCATTCAGAACGAAATACTTGTTATCAAATGGAAACGGATTTGAAATTCCAAATGAAAATAAGGGATGATATTTGAAACCAGGAAATGCAATACGCAATGGAACGAGTCGAATCGGCACAAAATCCCAAGGATCAATTTGAGTTTCGCTTTTTGAGATGTAAGTTTTGGTAGGTTTTCGATTTCCTAATGGAGTTTTGTAATAATTGATGGTTCTATAGAATTGACTCGAAGATGTAATTAAAATGTCACTCTCTAGAAACATTTGACTTGGCTTACATAGGTACATAGTGACAATATGCTGTTTGACATGTAATGCGTTGAGATTTAGGTTGAAAAATTCGAGAGCTTTTTTGAATATTGGATAAACAGTTTCTTCTACTCCAATCATGAGAGGTGAGAGTTGATTAAATTCGTTGCTGCTACTACTCTTTTTTAAATATTGCAACAAATCTTGTGTTGTGAAAATATTGAATTGATTGCTGACATCTCTCCACACAAACGCAGTAAGATAAGAAGCAATGAATGAAATTCCACGTTTTTGAATCAAAGACTCTACATCGGAACTCAAACTAGTTATATTCACATGAGTGTCAAAACTAAAAGAAGGTCCACTTGAATCATTCAATATTAGAGTCATGTAATTTTCAACCTTGTCTAAAGGAATGTTTGATTCATGAAAGATGTGATGAAGAGATGACAATTGTTCTGGACAGGACAGAGCGTGTGCGAGAAGGAAAGATTGAAGAAGAAGGATGGATGAGAAAAGAAGCATCGTGATCGGCGAGAGTGGCAACGAAGGCGTGAGAGTGGCCATTTTTTGTGTGCACACGTTTTGGCGTCAAATGTCATTTCAAGAATTTTTGAGCTGTCTAATCGACGTTCGGGCTCTCCATAGTGCTGAACTAATCTAAGGCGAGTATTAATGCGATGTGACGCACACAATTCTCGAGCATTCAAGTATTTGGGAAGATCAGAATGAGTCTACATCATTCACAACATTGAAATTTTCTAAACACATGCAATTTTTAACAATTATGAAGATTTATTCAGAACAAGTCTTTGTCAGCATCATGATTCTCTTGAAAGAGTCTTCGGCATCTGTCCTTTTTAAAGAACCATGACAAGGAATGAAACGAGAACTATTATCATGACAACCATCTTTGAAATTCTCAACGTAGATGCATTGGAACGAGGACAAGCTGTTGTACAAATAGCGCTTCCACTACATGCATTATTGGCCATGTTGGTCATTTGAATGGTCTTGCCAGTCTTTTGAAGAGTGAAAGGGTCAGCTCCAACAGTTCCATATATGGTATAATAAGAGTTAATATTTCCAACATAAAAAGTGGTTGAAGTTACTCCACCACACATGCCCTTCACGTTAGACTCTAACTGAACTAAATTCAAGCCAGAACGAGTAGCTGTCACTTGTCCATCCATACAACAACAAGTCGAAGGATTACAACCAGGTTGAACACTCCATTGACCCACCCAATACTCTGTAAAATCCTTATTCTCCCCCTGTCTATTATTCACACGCAAATTCTTCGTAAATGAATAATAAGAACTACCATACACCAAGACAGCACTTAACATGACATCTGAAGTAATACTTGTGGTGATGGAAATGGCGAAATTGGCGACACCGTTTTGAAGAGTCGATCGAGTAGTGCCTTGCACAGTTGCTCCAGAACTTGCTGCTCCAATCGAAATGGAATATCCAGAAAGAGGTGCAACGTTTCCATTGCTGTCATAGGCAGTGACTGTTCCTGTCAATTGAGATCCACTTTCGAGTGAAGTGGTTGGAGTGTCTATTTTGATATAACTCACAACAACTTGTTGTTCGACAGAGGTTTCATCAGCTTGAATGGTAACAATGAGGGAAGTAAAGAATAGCAATAACAATAATGGAATTAGTCTGGATGACATTCTGTCAGCTGTAGTAATAAGGATAAGAAGAGGTTTAGATGTTGTTTTTTTTTCAATGAATAGAAAATTGAATTCTCAAGGACAAGTTTTAAAAGCAATTGAGAAGAATTTACAATAACAAAGGTGTTTAATGATTGGAGATCAGAATACTCGACTCGTTTAACGTTTGATGTGAATTCCTAACTCTCCAAAGATGTCAAGCGTGTGTCCTTTGGGGTCTAGTGTTGTTTATTTATTTTCAATGAGTAATCTTTGGAAGGATTTGTAAAACAATTTAGTGATCGATGGTCATTAAGGAAGAACAAACAGCGGACCCTGTAATTCTTTGCCCTGTGATTCGTTCTGAGCTGGTACTTTGCCTCGTCAACAGTGTTTTGGGTCTGCTCACCAAAATCACCCCAAAACGTCAACTGTCAAGTCACTTCACGCACTTGTTAAATTTATCGTTCTGTCGCTGACTTGGCGTTGACAGCATCCATAAAAAATCCTCAACAACACCCCATGAACAACACTCCAATCAACAGAGGTGTATTCCTCTTCCTATTGGGTGTCTTGTGCGTTGCTGTGGCCTTGCTCTCCAGTACCACCGAAGCTCGTCGCTCTCGTCGAGGTGGTAATTTCATCAAACGAGTCGCAGCAGCAGCAGCTCGAGCTCATCATCATATACACCGTCATGTACACCATCATCCTCGTATTCACATTCGTCGTCATCGTCATCATCATATTCCCAAACATCATCGTCCCATTCGAGCCATTGTGGATAAAATTGTAAAATTGGGACGTCGACATCGTAAACGTCTGGCACGTCGTAGTCGTCGTCGAGGTGGAAGAAAGAACAATAATAACCAAGAAGGAAATGAACAACAACAACTCCCAGCAGAAGAACAGCCACCGAAAGAGGAACAACCTCCTCAAGTTCCTGTTCCAGCGACCACCATGAAGAAGTGTCAAGCCATTGGTGATCCACACTATACCGATTTTCAAGGAAAATATTATGATTTTTATGGAGTGGGTGATTATATTTTGGCTTCTTCCAAAGATGGAGATTTTGTGGTTCATTCTCGAACTGGAAGATGGGGAAGTGTCAGTGTCAATACTGCATTCGCTGTCAAGGTCAATCAAAGAAATACCATTGAATTCGATATTGAGAGTAATACTTTTTATGTGAATGGACAAACAGCACAAGTTACACAAGGTGAAGATTTCTCATTGGGTTCAGGAGCTGTTGCCAAGAGAACTTCTGAAAATTCCATGACCGTCTCTGCCAAGAATGGAGCTCACTTGATTGCTACTTGGTACAGAAATCCATCATGGAAATCCTCTCAAGGATCATTTGGTCATATTTCATTGGTAGTTGAAGCTCCTTCGAATTTGGAATTCAATTCTGGTTTGTGTGTCGATAAGAGTTTCATGTCACAAACGGCAACTGGAATTTTACACAATCATGTCGAAAGAAAGGTCGTCCGTTCTCAAAAACCAAAGAAACCAACCAAAGAAGAAGTTCAAGCAGCCATCAAGGTTTGTCGTAAAGCTGGATTGAAGGGAAAGAAACATCCATTGGCTTTGAGAGCTTGTGTCTCTGATCAAGTTCAAACTGGTGCCAAAGTTGGTAAATCCATTGCCAAAGTGATCAAACAAGTCGAGAGAATTGCTGACAAGAAGAAGAAGAAGTGGGCTCGTCAAGTCGATCAGAGAAATGAACGAAAGGGTAAACGTGTTGTGAAATCCACACGACCAAAGATTCTTCAAAAATGTCAAGCTCTCGGTGATCCTCATTACACCAACTTTAAGGGACAATATTATAATTTCTATGGAGTGGGTGATTATATTTTGGCTTCATCCATGGATGGAGATTTTGTGGTTCACTCTCGAACTGGAAGATGGGGAAGTGTCAGTGTCAATACTGCATTCGCTGTCAAGGTCAATAATCTCAACACTGTGGAATACAATGTCGAAACTAACAGTTTCTATGTGAATGGTAAGAAGAGTGAAGTTCCAATCAATGAAGATATCACTTTGGGTGACAATGCTGTTGCCAAGAGAACTGCTGAAAACTCAATTCGAATTTCTGCCAAGAATGGAGCTCATTTGATTGCTACTTGGTACAGAAATCCATCATGGAAGCAATCTCAAGGATCATTCGGTCACATTTCATTGGTAGTTGAAGCTCCTCGTGATGTTCTCTTCAATGCTGGTTTGTGTGTCGATAAGAGTTACATTTCACAAAAGGCCACTGGTTTGTTGCATGATCATATTGAAAGACAAATTGAACGTTCTCAAAAACCTAGAAAACCAACCAAAGAAGAAGTTCAAGCAGCCATCAAGGTCTGTCGTAAAGCTGGATTGAAGGGAAAGAAACACCCATTGGCTTTGAGAGCTTGTGTTTCTGATCAAGTTCAAACTGGTGCCAAAGTTGGTAAATCCATTGCCAAGGTGATCAAACAAGTCGAAAGAATTGCTGACAAGAAGGAAAAGAAGTGGGCTCGTAAGGCAAAGAAATCCAGAAAGGGTAAACGTTCTTCTTCGACTGGTTCAAAGAAGAAGCGATCGACCACTGGTAAGAAGAAGAGTGGTAAAAAATCAAGAACTACTCGTAAACAACGTCGTTCCTCCTCTACAAAGAGAAGATCCAGTAACAAGAGAAGATCCAGTAAGAGAAGATCTTCCAACAGACGTCGTGGTCGTCGTGGTGGTGCCTCTCGAAGAAGAACAAGTTCCAGAACCAGACAAGCTCAACGTCGTTCCCGCCGAATTCAACGAAGAGCCGCTCGTGAAGCTGCCCGTCAACAACGTCTTGCCCGCCGACGAGCTCAGAGAAGAGCCCGCCGTGCTCGCCGACAACAACGTCGTGCCGCCCGTAAACAACGCAAGTTGAGACAACAACGAAAACTCGCCCGTAAACAACGACAACAACAAAAACGTGCTGCCCGTAAACAACGTAAACAAAAAAGACGTACTGCCCGTAAACAAAAGCGCGTATTGAAGAAGTTGGCCAAGAAGGCAAAGAAGCAAGCTCGTCGTAATCGCAAGTTAGCCAAGAAGGCTAAGAAGCAAGCTCGTAAGGTTGCCCGCCGTGCTGCTCGTCGTGCTCGCCGCAGAATTCAACGAAGAAAACGATCCTTGATTAAGAAGCTTCGTCGTAGACTTGCCAATAGAAAGTTGAAGAGAGCTGCTCGTCGTGCTGCTCGCCGTGCTCGTAAACTTGCTCGTAAAGCTAGAAAGTTGTTCAAACGTGCCTTGAAGAAGGGAACTCGTAAAGCTATCGCTAGAGCCAAATGTTCAAGAAGATTGGCTCGTAAGGCCCGTCGTTTGGCTAGAAAACTCTCTCGAAAGATTGCCAAGTCTCAACGCAAGATTAAGAAGCAAATTAGAAAGATTAAGAGAGCTGCAAAGAAGGCTGTTAAGAAGGCTAGTAAGAAGGCAGCCAAGACTGCCAAGAAGAGATTCTTGAGAAGAATTGCTTTCAGAAACAAGCTCAAGAAGCAAGTCCGTCGTGCTGCTTCCACTGTTGTTCAAAGAAGAACTGTGAGAAAGATTAAGGCTTTGCTTCGTAAGGCTGCTGCCATTCGTAGAAAATACGGTAAAAAGTTCAACCCAAGAAAACACTTGCCAAAGAAACTCGTTTTGTTGATTAAGAAGTTGAAACTCTCCTTAAAGTGTGCAGTGAGAAGAAAGAAGGGACCAAAAGTGACCACACTTGGCAAGAGATTGGTAAAGAATTTGATTCGTGTTGCTAGATGTGCTCGCAGAAAATAAATCCAATGTCATAATATTATAATTTTTATCATCACACACCAACCATTCTTGTCAATGAGAATTTGAGCTTGTTGTCGATGTCAATAAGAGAATGTAGCATCCAACTTTGAACGAAAGAAATTATAATGATTGGTCCAGTCGTGTGAAAACAAATGAACTAACAGAACTTTCCTTAACTCAATAGGAACTTGACAATGTTAACGACTCGAAAAAAATGGTTGCACGCGCTAACACCACCGCCATCAAATCCTTGCAGTTGGAATTATTATACGACGATATATTGTCTCAAAAAATCTCACTTCATTGACCATTAATAGTTCCAATCTCGTTGCTGCTGATTTGAAGGAAATCATCTATGTTGAACAATCGAAAACCTTAAATCTCTATCGAAATAGAAAAATTGGTTCCAGTGGTGCTCAATACCTTGCAACGAGTTGTGAAAATTTGAAAACATTGACTTGTTTAAACTTGTCCTGGTGTGGAATTGGAGGTGAAGGATTCATGTACTTGATTCGTTGCCCCCATTGGAATCATCTTGAAACACTTTCAGTTTCCAATACTAACATTCAAGAACATCACGCATTACAATCTCTTGGTGAGGAAGGAGTCTTGTTACAGCAACATTTAACGTATCTCGATCTCACTTTCAATGATATTGATCATGATGGAATCATTGCACTCGCCCAGAGTTGTGAAAAATTTCATCGCTTGCAACATGTACATGTGAGTGCAACGAGTCTCAATGAGTCCGCAGCTAAGAGTGTGTTGAATTGTGAAAAATTTGCCAAATTGAAAACCTTCTCTCTGCATGCTGTATGTCATCATGAACTCTATTGTGAATTAATCATGAAGAAATTTCCAAAAAGCAATGTCTATGGATTTTTCAAACAAGCACGAAAGCAAACGTGTCAAATTTATTGAGATTAAGAAATTCTCAAGTATATAAAATAATTTTTATCATCAACCTTGAGTTTTTTTCATATTGCAAGTTAAATAAGGAATTATTGGTTCTTGTTACTATTTGACATGCACAGGAACAGTGCGTTCTTACTGATTGAGATTATTTGCATTCCAATTCCAACAATGATCACTTTGAAATGATCCTTCTCTTCAATGACGTGCATGTGAGAAATATCATTCACCTCACTCATACAGCTTGCAATAATTTCAAATGTCTCTCGATGAGGTGAAACTGAATAAACATTAAGGCGTTGATCAATTCCTATCGATAACACAAGACGATTCAATTGTTCTTCTGTCATATCTGTCAGTCTTGGAGATGAGAACCCAGTTGAGAAAACTCCACTCACTGCTGAACTGTGCACTCCTTCGAGATGAACATTTGATACAAGTCTTAATTGCTGTTGGGAAGTGTCAAATTTCAAAATTGCCAAATTCACAGACTGATCATCACCTCCTGTACACACATGAATCATGGAAGGATCATTTTCCAATGGATGAACATGCATACAATTCACTCCTGATTGATGAATGTCACATTCAAAAAATGCTTCAAGTACGTTCAAGTTGGAATTCATTTCTGTATATTCACAACTCTCAACATTCTTTGGATCATACATGCAACAATAGAGCTTTCCATTGGTAGATGCTGAAAAAATCAATCGTTGATGATCATCTTCAAGGCGAACGGTGGCAAGTGAAAGTACAGGTCCATTATGAAGGAATGAGTGAGCAATGGGTCTCAATTTTCTCAATTGATTTTGTGTTGAAAATACCTTAACAAGACCATCGCTACTTCCCACTAGAATGATCAACTCTTCTGAATGTGTAGAGCATTTAAATGCATCAAGACTCAGAATTCTAAAATTAATGACATCTAGACGTGATTTGTTTTTCACATGATAGGTTTTGATCGAGTGTGAAGAATGCGACCACTTGTCGCGATTTTTGAAATCTTGATAAATTTGAGGATGAAAGAGAGAGAGATATTGATTTGTTAAATTGATGTTAAGTAATAGGTCTGTCGTGATGGAAGATGATGAATCACGCTCTTCAATTTTCCAAATTGCTAATTGTTCTTTTCCACCTCCTGAAATTAAGATTTTGGAATTTTCTAGAAATAATTTTGTAATTTTGATGGAGGTATAATAATCATTGTTGATGAATTGATCAAAAACACACAATTCTTCTTGAACTTACCTCCATAATAATCGACTACAGATAATTCCTTCACACTACTTTCGTGTGCATTCAAAATGGACAGTGTTGAAATATTATTGGATTCGGTCCATGGTTTCTCTTTCAATGATGTGCTATCGTCATGGTATGATAATATCCTGATTTTAGTGTCTTCACTGCAAGTGACAATTCGAAGATCATTACCTGATTTCCAATGAGTGGCGTTTAAGACCTCTCTACCATGGAATTGAATAAATGGAGTCTGATTTTTAAATAGTGCGAGCTCTTCTTCTTGTTTTTTCTCAACAAAGTTCATGATGAGAGAATCTCTAAAGAATGATGCAGAACAAACAAGTTGAGGCGTATGATATAATGTTGTGTAAACAAAATCATAAATTCCTCTCGAAGCACCACATTTACAGGATGCAATCTGTTCCATGTGAAAATATAATGTGAAATTATAACCCTCGTTCACAATTGTTAAAATGATTGACCACTTACTCGATATCTCTTTGTATAATTATAAACAATCATGTGTGAACCATAAAATCCAATGAGTAAAATTTCACTCTCCATCTTGTTAAAAATTGAAGCTGGAATTGTGTCCACATAATCACACCCACCCGCAACCACTTGATATTCAGAGCTCTCTTGCGTGCGATAGGAAATGAAAATTCGATCCAGATGTGTCATGACACTTTTCAACCTTTCTTGTTGATGTTTCACTAACGTAAACATTCCATTATTTTCATCTTGAATAAGGTGATAGAAACATATGGAACCATCTCTTCCCACTGAATAAATGGTCTCCCTGTTCACATACTTGATATCACACACTTGATCTGCGTGGGCCGTTTTCATCACAAATTCGGGCGTTTTCTCGTCAGGTGTTGTGTTTTGGGAAGCTCTCAATACATGGATAAAACCTTCGTCATCTCCTGTAATGAGAATGCGCTCGTCTCGTACTGCACACAGAGCTTGAATTTTACCTTTTACCAAATAATGAGTTCCTTCTGTGATAGAAACACTTGGAGCTGGAGAGGATGATGACGACTCGTTCAAAGACATTTCTTCAAAATTGTGTGAAAATGAAATTCCAAAAGCTTTCATCGTTCCCAAAGGGGATGAAAAATATAATGTAAAAGAATGATCCAAATTTTTCACCCAAAACACAGCAAGGATCCTCGAGCTCATTGCTTTGAACGTGGAAAGAACAGATCCAGTAGAAATATCTAAAATGCAGCAGTAACCAGCTGAGTTTCCAATACAAATAAATTGTTCACATGGAGAGCATCTCACCACACACAACAGAGGAGATTCTTTCGAGGATACAGCTGACCCCATTTCTGCTACCATATTCGCGTTGAAAATTGGTGAATAATTTCCATTGAGAATATTCACCTGGTACACGAAGCCCTTCTTTGTACCGACGTAAATATGTTGATTCATGGCGTGCATACACCTGACCATGTCAGCTTGCTTTTTTGATTGATTCTGCGGGACTGTCATTTGAGGCAATTCAAAATTTTGATGAACAATGGCGTAATCTTGAATTCTCTTTAAGGACCACAATTTTACAGAGCTATCACCTCCACCACTTGCAATGACTTGTTGTGTAGAGTCAATATCAATTCTCCAAACATTTCTTCCAATATGACCCTGCAGAGTTGAGACACAATTTCCATCATAGTCCCACACCCGTATGGTTGCGTCCTCACTTGCAGAGATGATAAAATGTTTTGTGAATTTGCAATGCCACACACGAGCATTGTGTCCATAAAAGATTGTGCTTGTGTACGTCTCTGATACTTGATTGGAGTCTGCATGATGTGAAATAGTGTGGAGAGGCTGTTCATTAAACTTCCACAAAATCAGCGTTCTGTCATCTGATGTGGAACATATATGCTTTCCATCGTCTGACCATTCCACATGAAAAATGACACCATTATGCCCTTGTAATTGGACAACGGACTCTTTCGTATTATGTTTGCAATTCCAAATGATGACTGTATTAAAAACTGTACCAGAAGCAACAGAAATATTTTCACAAATGGAATTAAGGATTGATGTGGAATCTCCATGTGAATACGTAGCACCATTTCTGTTGAAGAAGAGTGACATGGAATAGAGTAAACAATTTGGATAGGATTTTCGTGTTGCCAGTAGATTCAAATGTTGGTTGGACTCTTGAATATTCCTAGAATACTGTGGTTGGTGTGAAGTGGTGTTTTCGTGAATATATTTACGAAATTCGTCTTTCTTCATTTTCAAAATTGCATGATCATATGAAAGTAATTGAATAAAGTTGTGGGCATAGCCTACACATAATGTCCTCATGGAACGATCATGGTTGTGCTCATCACTGTTAATAGAAATACCAATATCCAAAACATCAAGAATCCAATCACACATTTCACCAAAATTCCATACTTGACATTGTTCAATGGTGGCGAACACGTCATTCGTGTTCTCGTTTCTATTCAAAGAAATCAATAATTGCACAATTTTCAATCGTTTTTGTCCGTAAATTATAAATTCTTCGATCATAGAATTAGTGTTCTGTAGTGGTGATGATGACGACAATAAATCAAAATTGTGAAGAGTTTTCAGTTGCTCCTCACACTCCTCGTTTTGAATAAATTTAATTCCTTTAATACTTCCTCCCTTTTCAAAGATGGCAATACTTCCTATTTCTCTTCCAGAATGAGTTTCAAAGATATGAAGATTGGGACCTATTCCTGCATAAAGAACGGAAGGAATAATTTTCGAGAAATTAATGCAATAGACTGGACCCATGTAGAGTTTCTTTTCAAATATCGGAATGTGTTCTGAAGAACAAGAGTCGTCATGATTACGGGAAGAAATGGCTCTCGTTACGGAATGATATTTTTCATATTTATTTCGCTCATCGCTGTTGGGCAAAATGGAGGAAGAAAAGTCATGTTGTGAAATCATTTTTTTAATTCCAGGCAAACTCCACAAACAATATATATTGAAAAGTTTATATACAGCGGCCCAGTTAGAATCCCTATTGAATTCGATGTACATGTTTCTTTAATAAAGTTTTTTATTTCCATGTTTTATACCAGCCTGCTTTGTCGGTAGTGACTGTTTCATATCGTTTGGTTGTTAATTAATGTAATCGGGTGTGGTATAGTGGTAGCATTCCAGACTGTCACTCTGGCGACCCGGGTTCAATTCCCGGCACTCGAGAAATATTTTTTATTTTTAATTGACGACTTGTTTGTACTTTTGAGTGGTAAACCACTTTGACACTATTTTACATATTCATCTTTTAGACTCACCCATTATCGCAAGAATAATAGTACCTACAAATATGATTTTGGAAATAAACAATTATTAATTTAATAAATTTTTTAAATTCTTTATAAAATCCAAATTCCAAAAAAAATGCTGAAAAATCTCGTCGTTGCCTCTTTCCTCATCATCTGCGCCGTGATGATGGTCCATGCTTTTGGAGAGGACAGAAACTATATTCAAAATTTGAAACAACAAAACCACAAGATTGAATTTTCATCTCCATCTCTCGCTATTGATGGTCTCGTACAACATTTAGGTTTGGTCTTTAAAGGATTGCCATCCGACAAGGTTGTTTCCGTTTCATCATTGGACCTTTTTGAAAGACCCATTGTTGGTGTAGTCATGATTCCAACTAAATCTTCCGAAGTGAATGATGTTATCGTGAAGAAGGTTGAATCGTTATTTGGAAAGGAGGCTGTTACAACAGTTCCATCATTGAAGAATGTTGATTTCTCTTCAAAGACTTCCGGCATTGTTGTTGTTACCAATGTTGAGGTATGTTTTTTGAGCGTTTATTTTGAAATTAATACAAGCTTTGATATGACAATAACAACATGATGTTGATGAACTACTTTGCTACTCGTATTTTTCGGTATGCCGATTTCAACCTTTTCAAACAACAATAACAACCTCGACATGGACAATGTGCATGGTCTAACTACTTCATCCTAACAACAACAACAACACCAGAATGTTGAAAGCGAATTGAGAATGATTCCAGAAAGATCCGATGTCGTCTTGTTGAACTTGGAAAAGAATCTTGAAGTCATGACACCAACTCAAAGAAAGCTCATGTCTGTCTACTTGAATAACAACAACACCAATACCAACACATCCAATAGCACCATTAGCGATGCTGAGCGTGCTGACTATCAAATGCAATTGTGGGTATGGGTCATTGGTATTGTTTGTGTCATTTTGGCTGTTTGGGCTGTGACCTTGATTGATTACAGTGGAGACCAAATGTTGTATGCCCTCGAAATGACAAAGGGTCACCATGATTAGAGGAATGATTCAAAGTGAAAACATGAACTGTCCATATCAATTTATTTCATGTTTCTTTTTCACTCCATCCTAATCCCTTCAAAACGTTCTTCCTTCTCCAATAGAGCTTTTTCCTCCACACAATGCAGTTTTTAACCCAATAAAACACCAACTATTTAATTGAACCATGTTTTCTACTTCTGTTATCCTTCAACACTTTATCATGAAAGTGGTTTGCTCATTTATTTGAACCATAATTTTTTTAATACTTGTTGGGGCAATCAAGTTTGCATTGATGCCAACTCCTAAACTTTTCGAATGATGTACAAATCGTAGTGTAGGGACAACTGAACAGTGTTGAAGATAAAGCTACTTGGAATCTCATTTAATTGCTGACGAAAAATGGACATGTGTTGTGCAAAGCCTTAAAATCATCATGGACAGAACACAACAGTTCTACCAATATTTGCATTTTTACTCTCCTAATTTCCAGACAAGCGAGCCCTGAGGTGTTGCACCAAAATTTAAACCTACGAAAACTCGTCTTGTTGATTCAAAATCTGAATCAACCAATTAGGTGTAATTTCCTGTTGTTTCGTGCTCGAATAAGTGGTTGGAAATATCACATACAAGTAATCATTCTCTCCGCTCACTGCATACGTATGATTAAACTTTTTCCAACTCACGACAGCGTCTTCCATGCCTGTCACTAAAAAGGCATTCCAACATTTGCCAACTCGAGTTCCTTTCCACACAAGTTCGAATATTTTCTCAACAAACAATGGTGGTAAAATTCCATCAAGCTTGATAATAAAGGTTTGATCGACCCGTGCGAATTTCACATCATGCATGAGTGCATTCATGAAGAGTAAATGATTTCGTTGTGCCACAATGTTCACGAATGATGCATCTTCCTGATGGGTAGTGCTACTGCTAGTGGTAACCTCAGAAGATTTACTATCATCTGAGGCGCTGAGACATTCTGAACCCATTCCTCCGCTCAATAATCCAACACTTGTCAAAATGGCCTTGGCTGTTTCCTGTTTACAAATTTCTTTCTCTTCAGAAGGGGAAAGAGACTTGTTGAACATGGAGAACAAGTGATGACTCACTTCGTCATGCTCATCGTTTTCATCATTGTCATCTTCGTCATGTTCAGCTTCTTCATGGTCATCTTCATTGTCACTTGTTTCGTCCATGAGATTGGATGGTGGTGCATGATGACCTAGTTGCTGTAATTGAGAAAATCCTTCCAATGTGTTACAAGCAGTGCTTGGATGCTTATTCTGTTCACTCTTTTCACCTCCTTTTGCAATAGTTTCAATACTCAATTCAACTCGTGGTAATACTAGAGATTCCTCCTTCAAAATTCTCACATTGAAAATATCCTTTCCAGATGTCTTTTTAATCAAAACTTTGTTTTCTGCAGTTGAACTCGCACCAAAAGTTTCCTCCGAATTAGTAGTATTGGAATTAATTCTTGACTGGACAAACGATTCGAAATCTGACATTTCAATCCAACCATTTTTCTCAATACTAAAAACTCCAAAGAAGCAATGCATTGGACATGTTCCCTCTTTGTTCAGAGACCACATCAATCGTTCATATTCTTTAGATTTTGGTTTGAAAGGCATCTTGTATCCTACTGTTGAATAATTATCGCTTTCAAAATTAGCAGAGTGAGCACTAGTCTTTTTCGAGTGAATTTTGTTCTTTTCATTGCGTTGCAATCCAATTTCAAGAAGAGTATCCTGATCCAATCTGAACCGTAAATGATGTTCTCTCTCCAATGGTGTTGAACATGATGCAACATTAATACCATGAGTTGATGATGAAGAGGTATTAAATATGGGATAGATGGCCATTTGGTTGGCACTTAAACAATCGGTATGAGCTCCGAGTGTATGGCAATAGACTAAATAATCCGATGAAGATTCTTCTCTTGTTAAGACTCGTTCTTGAACATAGGAAATGATATCCACGGGTTGAATGTTGGAACATAGATAGACTACACTCTTATCCTTTAAATCCGTGCAGAGATTGAGAATGTTCTGAATCAATTCTTTGGAATTGACCTCTGGTAAAGGCCTTGATGGTTTGTTGTTGTTCTCTAACGATTGTTCTTCATCGTAGGCAACAAGACCATGAGAAGCTTCTGTTGTCGAATCGTTATGATTATAAAAATTCAATACAATTTCCATACGATAATTAAATGGATGATTCCGAATAATATCGGAATGATTTGCCTTTTCATGTTCCAGAAAGGTATCACTCCAGAAAATCATTCGGGAAGGCAACGGTTCAACTCCTGCATTGAATTGAAGCATTTTTTTAATTCATTCAACAATTATTAATTTTGTAAAGTTTCAACAGCAACAATTATTAATGTTGTAGCATCAATGAAAGTTTCGTCCAATTTTCACACATGATGAATCAGTCATTACTCATTGACGTTTGTATATATAGAAACATTTGGTGGTGTTGGATGTTCTGCTGCTGCTATCAGATTTTCCTGCTCTTGTTTCTCAAATTGTTCTTTCATGGAGAGAGCTCCTTGTTCCTTGTGTTTTTCGGCTTTTTGACCGAGTTCAATGATGGATTTAATATCGTCTCGTGTGAAATGATGAGTCAATACTTCGTGATGGCTTCCTAGAAATGCCATTCTCAAATGATCAATTTGGTCAAGATGCTTGGCAAGGAAATTTCCAAACAGTTCACTTCCAGAAACGACTGCTAATGCAGCATCTTGTTTGTTGGATAGTTTAAGTAAGGTGGGTAAATCTTTGGAAGCTACATCTGGAGCTGAGTATGTAAATACAATGCGTTTGGAATCTTTGGTAAGTGTGAATTTTTCGAGATCCGTACTCTCGTTAACTGTTGATGTGTGACTTTCTTCAACAACATTATTCGTTGTGATTGGTTCATGTGGTGCAGTTGTTGTAGTAGAAGGCGATACAGATGTTCCTTCACTTGAGGAAGGAGCATTCACCATTTCTTCAGCATCTTCGTTACATGCAATGTAAAATTTGGATGTCACATATAATTTACCTCGGAGAGAATTGACCTTTGAGAGCTGTTCTTGCGTGATCTTCTTCTTTTCTTCGATAATAGTGTGATATTTTGCCTTTAGTGCTAATTGAGTCCCTTTCGTTGAAGAGCTGCTCTCAGTGGTATTTAGCTTATTTTCAATATCGGTCAGCTCTTTCTGCATTTCATTGAGATCTTTGAGTGCCTTCACCAATGTAGCCAATGTTAAATCTGTAAGTACCGTTTGTGACCAATCCAATACATGTTTCAGTTCTTGAGGAGGAAGCACTAACGAGTCGTCAATCACGGCAGAAACATTTTCAATAGGTGTCGATAAAAGTATGGCCATTAAATGTTGAGCAATCGTCGGTGCCGTCGATACCTTCACACTTGAATAATCCCTCTTCAATATTTTTGATTCAAATCTTTCCAAATATTTCTGATGTTGCAGCTTGCTTGTAAATAAATAAAAGGTACCAATGCTACCATCATCATGTTCTTTAGTGTTACCTCCTTCAAGCATATTCATTGCTCTAAAGTGTGAATATTGAACAATTTTTCGATAGAAGAGAGTGTGAAATTCTTCAATTTCCGCTTGTTCCTTTTCAGTGAGCGACTTTCCATTAGTTTTAGCATCTTCTATTCGTTGATTATATTGATTTTTTAGTCCTATTAATTTTTGCACTTGTAATGTTTCCTCTAATTGTTTCTTATCATGAATGCAATCTTTCTCTGATTTTGTACCAAATTGTTGAATTTTTTCCTTTTTCAATTTTTCTTGAGCTTTTGCAAAATTAGACTTTTTTGCTGGCTGAGTCTGTTGTTGGGAGATGTTATGAACCGATTTATTTCTATGGCAATTCCATATTATAAATAATATAATGTTTCATTATAAATTACCACGTGTTGAATTTACAATATATCACCAATGATATTTCAAATATTACCGCGCATCATCATGGAATATTTAATTCAATCATTCACTTCCGACTCAAAAACCTACACAATAATTGCATAACTTCTGTGTTCACTGCCTTTGGAAAAATCACATACGAAACTAGCTGTTGATCGTGCCCATAGTGGATAACTTCGGAACCATGATGATGAGGATTTTAAACATCCGTCAGTTACAAATCTTCCCACTCCAAACCGCAACATTTTTTTGTAAAATTTCAAACCTTTTTATCACAATTTTCATCATTTCACTAACAATCAACTGTTCATGAGACTAGGTTGTTTTGCATCCAAAAAGAGAGTTAAAACACGTGTTTGAGTTTTTGAGTTTCGGAGTCTCACAGGAGATTACATAAAATCAAACTCCACAACTCAACCCAAAAACAAATTCCGAAAAAAATGCAACCAAGGCTTTCCGTTGTTGGATGGATGGCAATCATCCTCCTCTTCCATGTATTCATATTATTGGCAAATGCCTCTGAAACTCCGAAAGCTTCTACTTTATATAAACCTCTTCGGGATGTTCTTCAAATCAATTCCCGAGCTGAGAATGGAAGTTTGGTACTCATGTTATCCTCTCTGGATGATTTTTTATCGAGCTTGCAAAGTAATCAAACGAGAATGGTTTATCATGATGCGAATCATCATGCTCTTTCTTATTATCATTCCATATTATCAGATATGGATTTATTAATTTATTTTCATACAACGGATGATGTGTGTGCTAGAGAATATTCTCTGCAAGCATTATCAACGCTTGATTCCATTGTTCATACTGTGGAAAAAGTGAGAGCAAGTTTTGGAAAGAATTTTGATACTCCCGATGAGAAATTATTTGTGGTGAAAGGAACCAAAACCGAAGAGTCAAGTGGACAACAATTGAGTGTTTCACATGACGTGAATTTACGAGTGGCTCAATTGAATTGTCTCTCTTCCGAATATAATGGAATGTTGTGTGATAAATTATTGGGTGGATCTTGGTGGAGAGAAGAATCGTGTGACACGTATGACTTGCCAAGCTTTTTTGAAATGTCACTCGGAATGAAAACTGCGTTACCACCGCACAGACAAAAGCTCATGAAGGACTTTTTAATGGAGAGGCTACGATTTTTTAATTCGAAAAAGAGAGTTGAATTTTCAGACACTTCCAAAGAGAGAGTGTTGCTTCGTGTGAATAAGATGCATCTCTTGGGACAAGATGTACCCAACGTCAAGATTGCTATTCAACACGATGCCTCTCAAGAAGAACTGTTAAATGACTCTGTCGAATATATTCGAAAGGGAGAAGAAGTGTCGAAGGGCAGTAGCAGTAATAACGATGCCAAAGATGAAATTTTACAATTTTTACATTCCAAATATTACTTTGATGAGAATAATCGTAAAGTTGGAGAAATGCTTTTGAAGAGAAGTTTCCCAAGACCCTATCTCTTCTATGAAGAGTGTGACTTTACTCAATTGTATGCAGAGGGAAATCCATCCAAGAAAGTAAGACCTATCAATTTCTTCTTACTTCACAAGGGACCATCTCACTTTGATTTCCCAAGAACCATGATTAATGCATTTTTACAAACCTCAGTTGCCCTGATTGAGGAGCAATCCATTGGAATGATCTACATGTGTTCAGGAGAGGTCATTAAAGCATTCGAAGCGACCAGAGACATTAATGGAAAGGGTAATTTTGGAACCATTATAACACACAACTTTATATATGGCAAGAGACAATCTGAAATTGTCGATCGAGGTCTCTTACTCTTTTACAACCCATATGTGAAAAATAAGAATTCTACCCGTGCCTTGACTCTTCATCGAGGCGAACCCTACGATGCTCAATTTGTGTTAGCAGATGCTAACAATGTGCTAAAGCATATCAATGTCATGCTTCGACAAGGAAAGGCTCTCAATAGTTATGCAGATTGGAGAGATACTGCCTTCTTCATGTTCAGAGGAATGACTTCATTGAGCGAAGTAATTTTAAAGATGGTTCGAGATTGGATGATCAATACTCCAGAACATGCTAAACATGAACTGAGTATCGAAAAGAATATCACTCCATATGTTGAACTTGTAAAGCAAGTTCTTCAAAATTCTACAGTATTGAGAGAGGAAAAATTGAAAACTGCTCTTCCTCCTTCTCAATTTCCAGACGATGATATTGAATATGGAGACAAAATGTTGGAAACTTGTCATGTCATGTTGGACTATTTGAATGAAATGATTCAACATTTTTCAAATGAACAGACAGTCATTCAAAAACAACATGTTTGGAATTATATCGATGGAACCATTTCCTCACTTCAAAAACAAATCACACAAGTGCGAGAGGAGAGAGGCGATGACTGTGGAGCGAAATGTCAGGACTTGTATGTGAAATTATTTGTGGCCAATTCGTTTAAGGTCATTGAGGCTCAACAAAAAAGTGCTTAAAAAATTGGAAAGGGAGCAAATAAAAGGTTTTACAAAACTTGTACAAGAAGGATAGTATACATAGTATAACAAATAAGTCAATGGATCCGTCCTCATTGATCATTTAAAGTCAACTTGAAGTGAGTCAACAACACTTGGTTCCAGGAGTTTGGAGTCCTTCCTCCGGAGATGGTCCAAGATTTCCGAACTTTGATTTAAAACTTCCAACTTCACAACTCCCCGCTACTCGCGGTTGACGTTAATTTTTAACGTTTTTTCGTCAAAAATTACAATCAAAAAGTTAACGAAAAAAATTTTATTCTCGCTTGAAAAGCGTTAATTATTGACGAAAAAACGTCAATAAAAAGCGTTAATTTCCCACATTAACGATTTCATTATTCACGCGTCAAATTAACGTCAATTATTATGATGTTTCATAATAAAAATAATTGACGAAAAATTAACGCTCCTTATTTCTCAAATTTCTCTTTCATTCTCGTTCAACCAATCGTTCACTAATTCAATCTCTTCAAACCACTCCAAATCTTCAAATCTTGTATGTTTATCCATTTTCCTCACATTCATTCATCCAAATTCTCTAATTTATATCCAACAACAAAGCTAAAGTAGTCAATTTAATGAATATAAATGGTAAATGAAAGATGAATTGGATTGACATTACTTACTTTTGAATAATTTAAGCTATCGGGTTGAAATATCATCTAATTCAATACTTGTATTTCATATCATCTTTTCATTTGTTTATCATGATGTTGGTTTTGCATTCAGTTAAAATATTTTTCAGTTGCGGCATAATAATCATAGTGATCAATAGTTCAATCAAAACACACTTCAAATTCATATAAATGATATATCAATTTGTCATTTGTTTTGATATCTCTATTGCACTGACATTATTATTCACAACAAGTCATATTTTAAC